TTCGAAAAATTTTGACTTTTTGTCTTTAGATTCAAAATGCCTTGAGCGATTTCGTTCAAATTTTCAGAGAGTGTTCGCGATGTTCTCAAGCATTTTTATAAAAAATCCGTGCGAGTTCCACTTCTTTCGGACCAGACCTAGAGCGACTCTCATTTTTTTTTAAAGAAAAAATTGGTACACCCCTAGGTTTTTTGACAAATAAAAAAATTATTTCTTGACTCGTTGTTTTTTAATTTTAAACAAAAAAGGTATCTCCAGTTTTCCCTGTTCGATGCGACCTTTACGAGATAAAAAATAAAAATCAATGTATTGTTTGGCAAATCTCGTGTTCGATACACTCCACTCTGTTAAAAAAGAAGAGTCGCTCCAAGTCCGGTCCTGGAAAAGTGAAACTCAAACGAATTTTTTAGAAAGATGCTTGAGAACATCGCAAACACTTTCTGAAAATTTGAACAAAATCGCAAGGCATTTTGAATCCAAAGGCAAAAACTCAAAATTTTCTGAAAATTCCAACACTTTGTATTTTCTTAACGAGACATTTGCGGACACATGTACCCATGCAAACAGTGATTGTCCTACTGTACTCTATCTATCATAACAAAATGCGCACCTATTTCGGCATCACCCTGTGTATAGCAGACAATTCTTCTTCGATAGTGAGTGGGTTTGTTAGTTTCGTCCTTTATAAATTCCCTGGATCCAAAGCGATGCCCCAAAAATCAAGCTTCTTTTGGGGCATCTGTTGTCAGCGTAAAAGGCTTGACCAAAATCCGGAAACTATTAAATTTCAGGTTCAATAAGAAGCTTTCTTACTTTCTCGAATTAAATAATTGTTGGCATTCTTCTGTCCAATAAGTAATGGCAGTTTATGTAAAGGTTTCGTAGTCTCGGCAAAATGCTTTATAATGCGTCTATAGTAATTGCAGAATGCGGTAAATCGTCTTACGTCATGAATTTGGTTGTGGATAATTACGAATAGTGTCGTATTTCGATTCATCGGGCAGGACTCCTTGTGATGCAACTTTATGTCCGAAGTATGTGACGTTGTTTTGAAAAAATATTCAGTTTTGTGGATTTAACTTTAGATTGAATTTTCGGGAAGTTTCGAAGATGCTTTTTGAGTTATCAAGATGGTGATTTTTAGAGCAACCTACACAATTTTAATCGCACATAGAAACACTTTTTCGGGAGTAAGATCCGCAATAGTCATCATCCTCTGGAAACTGTTGGGGGCTGATCTTAAATTCAAACGGTAATCTTGAAAGCGGCCAGAAGCTGTGTTGGAGCAGAATGATATATGTTATGTTATAGTCCAGCCTGGTATACTCATCTTCAGATAAACTTACCGGTAACTATCTGCAAGATAAATTTACCGTTCTGTAATTCTATTGGTAGGCGGAGAACTGGCCGACCAATGAGATTATAGATTGCGTATTTATCCGTCAGATTGCATACCCGACAGTTTATCAGAAGGTGAATAAACTGGCCCTATGTCTAATGTAGAGAAGCATTTTGCTCTACCTAATTGATTCAAAATTTGATCGATTCTGGGGATTGAAAACTTATCTGCACACAGTTTTTTATTTAATGTATGGCAACAATCAACGACAAGTCGACATTTTTTCTCACCATTTGTTGACTGTTTGGTAAAATACGATTGATATTCTGATTGCGATGGCTCTATTATTTTGTCTCTAAGATTTTTTCCGACCTGCGTAATATTTTCGTCCACTTGCGCATATAGGGTTTTGTAATTTTTTATGTAGACTGACGGTCTATCGCTTAAACGTTATTTTTGCTGATACATTTTTGAAGTGAAACTTTTTAGGCGGCGGTCTGATATTTGGACAACAATGAAGAGTGCCTTAAAAGACGCGTCACGTTTTGGCAAATTTCGTTACACGAGAGAGAAGAAAGATATAACGTAAAGAGACGGAGAAAGACAGCCATTATAACATTGATTGTCAAACCGAGGATTATAAACGCAAAGAGGATTGATTGCCTATTATTGTCAAGCGCCAATACCCTTGTGACGTCAATACAGATGCGCTCCTCTCTTTTGTGTGGTACTTCGTCTGTCTGAAAGTTGTATGAGGACGGCCGGGGGATATTTTTCAAGAAGTTCCACTTCTACTACGTGTAGGGCGCTGCACATGATTTTTTTTTGTTGTAAGTGAATCGCTCTTTAACGAAAAATTGCCTGAATAGTCTTGACATTATGCAGTAATCTCTGGTTTGACGAAATCTGGCCTTGAAATTGTGTTTATTTCTTTTAATTTCTGTTTTGTTTACTACTTTTTTTATTGCCATCTACGCAAAAAAAAAAATCGTGGTTTTCTGAATTAGAATACTAAATTATGGTTTGTACAAAACGAAAAAGGAGCCACTTCTGAATATGGTCGTAGCATTTAACGGAATTATTTAATTTTTTTAATTTAAATGTAGGTCTGTTTCAACACGTCAAAAATCGCCCCATCAACGGTTTGGAAACCACTCTCTATACGAATTTCGGATTCTACGCATAAATCAGGGCTTTGCGCAGAATCGTGACGATACATTCTACGGTTTCCTGCTGCGTTGGAACAAAGCTTATATGAGAGCAAATTTACAAACTTGTAATTTTTTATCGAATAAGTAAACAAACCGCGATAAAAACAACCTTTTTGGTTTCATATGGAACATATATTTTTCATTTTAATGCAATAAAGGCGTTTTAGGGTATTTCAAGGTCGATTTCAAAAAAAAAACGCTTGGACACGTCTTTTTTGATTCAAAGGGGAAGCTTTTTGGCCCCATCCGTATTTCGCTAGGGTGCAACCCATGGGTGGGTGACTTCTACCCCTCTTTTTAACAAAGGGAAGATGGGTCGATAGTAGATTGTTTTAAAGGTATTTCGAGTCTCGTCACAACTAGGTATTTTTTTGAAAATCGAATCATTAGTTCTCAAGATATTCACCGTCAAAGTTGCCATGGGCTAAATAAGAAACAATTTCCTGGCCCTGTTATTCTCAAAATAACGCTTTTCTGACTTTCCTCTCGGACACGTCAATTTTTTTTTTTTTTTTGTGCTTCTGAAAAAATGAAAATTGACGTGTCCGAGAGAGGAGTCAGGAAAGTGTTAATTTGAGAATAATAGGGCCAGAAATTTTTTTCTTATCAAGCCCATGGCAACTTTGACAGTGAATATCTTGAGAACTGATTATTCGATTTAAAAAAAAAGCAGTTGTGACGAGAATCAAAATACCTTTAAAACAAGGTACCACTCGACCCATCTTCCCTTTCTTAAAAAGAGGGGTAAAAGGCACCCCACCCATGGGTTGCACCCTAGCGAAATACTGATGGGGCCAAAAAGCTTCCCCCTTGAATAGAAAAGGGACGTATCCAAGCGTTTTTTTTTTTTTTTAAATCGACCTTGGAATACCCCAAAACGCCTCTGTTTCGATGTTCGTGAAACACCCTGTATAAAAAATTACTGAAGTAGCTCATTTCAGTATGTTTGACGTGGATCTATTTTGTTTCTTTCAACTTTTAACTTTACAAGCAGAGTAACGGCTTGTTCTTCTGTCATATCTGTTTGAATTGTTACGAAATTTGAAAGTGTTGGTGCGTGTTAACTAACCGAAAGGACCTTGTTGAGGCTCCTGTTGATTTTCCTGATTTGGCTCCGTGGCCTGAATGGTCTACCTCTATGCGAAAAACCTCTATTTTGTTGGTACGACTCCCGATGATAGTTATTAGCGTTCACACTGGGTGTCATTTTTTTGTCTGCATAAGAAGAGTTTCCTCCACGATATACAAAGTTTCTCCTTTCGCGGTAATTATTTCTTGGTCTACCTCTATTTCGTCCTCTTTTTGTGTATAAAACTGTTGCGCTTGATGAATTTTCTGCGCTAACATTGACAAATTTTTGTACAGCTTCTTGAACTGTATGACAATGGGCTTCAAAGCCTTGACGGTCGTGTAAGTCGTGTAATTTTCTGCTACATTTTCCGATACGCCCTCCCTAATATGTTGGTGTGTCTGCTTGATCACAACACAGTGTCTCCATTAAACCACAGTGGCGGCGACAATTGCTGCTTATTTTTGATTGGTTCCTTAAAATCCAATATATTACATTGCAAACTCCGTCATTTTGTGGCTTACCTCTTGCTACTTCTAAATATGAATATATGTATAGGCTTTAGGTGAACATCCATATAAAAAAGTTGGGAACAACGTATTTGATATACCTAATAGTAGTCATCAAATACCTTGTTCTCAATGTTTTATGATAGATGTCCATTTAAATCCTATATATTCAAATTTAAAATTAGCAAGAGGCATCCACAAAATGGCGGCGGGACCTCTAGTGTCGCCACTGTTTGTACAGGTTTATTAAGTCAGTGTAATTACAAGAGCGCCCATTTTCGCAGCAGTGAAATGTGTTCTGGGTGACCTAAAATTGACTTGACATTTGAAGTAAACAGATTTGACACGTTTTTTATAGTGAAAGCCTTTTATTTTTCCGGGAATGCAAAAAGCGGTATTCACCTGAGTTGTCGATGGAAACATTAGAGTCTCTTCAAGATAAAATGTTGCAAGGCATTGGGCCCCGAAGGTCTTTTTGTGCTTCCCTCAATCCTTCAAACGTTGAGCTCAGCACAAAAAGACTTAACTTCTTGTTTCCGGCAAGAAGTTCTCAGGCCTGCGGTGTTCCATGACATACGTAGCTTACATTTACTGTTTTTTAGGTCGTATAACCTAAACGCATCTAGTAGAACGAAATAAAATGAGAGATAATTTTTACATGAGTTTTCCAATTTCTGCGGGAACTAGAAATTTTGAAAAAGCGTCCAACTTTGCCGAATGTAGGTACTTATTCATCTGAACTGCAAATTAACTAATTTGGTCTTGAGCAAATTGCACTCGCTCTGTTACTCATTTCGCCTTTGGTCCATGGTTATTGAATTCTCAAAGAAAAACTGCTAATAGATTGGCAGCATTCAAATAAAACTAAAACATAATTAAAACACAAAAAATATTTATTTTTATTTAAATACCCAATAAAATTTGACATCATTCAAGTAGAAAAAATATGTAATTATTTATATCAAAATATCACAGTCAAAAATAAATCTGGAATTGATTAATTTTAGTTTTACAAACTAAAAGAAATTACTTTATTTTTACAATATTAGTGAAAATTAGTTACAACATACATAATAGCAATTTTGTATGACATATACATTTTGAATAAAGACATGCGCTACTAAACTCAACAGTAAAAAACGAAAAGTGACAAAAAAATAACCTAAGCTGTAACTAAGCGAAAACGGTCGAAATGCTGCAACGCGTCCTTATCGCTTAATTAACTAACACAAAATTGAAAACTTGGCTCTCTCTTTTGATACAGAAAAGCTAATGCCCCAATTTAAATCTCGTTTGATCTGATTTTTTTTTAAATAAATTCAAAATTATGAGTAAAAGGCAGGCCCTTTTTTGATTATACCTATATAAATAAATACATTAGCAGCAGCATTATCTACATAATCTACATAATCGATCTACCACGTATACGATTTAGCTTCTTGAAAGAAATTGCTCGAAAATAAAATTCACACAAGTTAGTAATCAATTATTTTAAAACATTTCATAACAGTAAAAATATTCAACATTCAAGCATTCAACTATAGGTACGGTACAACAGACTTGGTGGCCTGTTAACTAGAGCTATAAATAAATTCGTGCAAGAAATGGATTTTCGGGCCACTTATTTCAGAAAAATTTCACATGTTCTAAATCTACAAAAACACAACAAAACAATGTTTCTACACTTCCTACTCAAGACTCCTAAGTGATATTTCTAAAGGCGACAATCGAGTTTCCGCAGTAATAGGAGGTGGTATGCAAGATGCACGAGGTATATTAATGTGATTACTATTCAATCTAGGCCTTACCTTGGCCGTTTTCCTTCTAGCTCTTATATTGAAAATCCCATAGACCACTGGGTTGGCGCAGGAATTAGTGCAAGCGAAGAGAAACAGCCCTTTTTGGATGCGCTGGTCTACGTGGAGTGCTGAATCGCGATCATACCAATACCTAAAAAAAAACGAATTTTATTGCAGTACATTTTAGGCCGAAAAAACGGAAGATTCTCAAGTTTGGCATGTTATACCCATAGGGTACTTTGAATAAGGTTGTTTCGTATTGACAAATAAAGATTATGATAATATATGCGAGATCCGATCATAGTAGTCGGCATTCTGAACCTCTAATTTATCGAGAGTCATATCATGGCAAACTTGCAGTACCCAGTTTTCGCTGCGGACCCAACTATACTGATGGGTTTCGGTATTCTTGCACCTGGTCAGCGCAGTGTAGCTAGTTGGATCCGCAAGCAAAACTAGGGAGGTACTGGTTTGCCATGATTTGATTCTCAGATTTCATGCTAGCGGTACACCTAAAATACTTGGTGAAATTTTTGGCGATGAATGATCCCTTGAAAAGTTTTTCTGGGATATAGTGTTCGGCTATGCCAAAAGAGGGCAATATACTCGACTTTATGGGAAAATCCAGATAATTTACTGAGAAGTTGGAAATACCTAGGGACGAACTGAATGCTGACATACACGAAAGCAAATAATCCCCCATCCCAAACAAACGTTAGCATTGATGCCTTAAATAAATACTACTCTTCTTTGATCGCCAAGAAGCTGACAGAAAATCTGCATGCTATGAAAAACAAAAAAGCTACTACGGACGATGGCATCTCTTTAAAAATAGTAGAGGATCTACCAGACATCGCTGTTCTGATCCTAGCTGATGTTATTAACACCTCCTTTATGCCAGGTACTTTCTCACCCTTCTTCAAAAACGCCATAGTTACTCCCTATTGTACAAATGTGGTGATGGAGAGGACCATCGAACCATAGGTTCATCTCTTTGTTGACGACTCTCTTGAAGTTGGTTGAATCTCTTGTGAAGTATCGTCTCGTTCAACGGAAATAATATCATATAAGGCTGTCGAAAATCATTACATACTGCTGCGGAAGCTGCGAGCGTATGGAATACATGGTAGAACCCTTAATTGCTTTGAAAATGATTTGCGTTTCCGTGATCAGTCCGCGAGTTCAGGCAGTCTTTTGTCTTGCTGACGACTTATTTCGCGAGGAGTTCCTCAGAGTTCTGTGCTTGGGCCTATCCTCTTTTTAACTTACATCAACGATATAACCGTATTCCTGAAATCTTCACGTTGTTTGCGGATGATGCGACTATTTTTGGAGTAACGAAGACTCGAACCTGCTGTTCGGTATCGAGTTGAATTTGGCTTAGGTCAGAAAATGGTGTGATTCAATCTTCTGTGTTTGAACAAGTCCAAGACTCATTTTATTGGTAATCTTGATGGCCTTTTTCATGGCGATAGCATTGTCTCTCTCACAGTCAATTCTAAGTTTCTGGGACTGACTATCGATGAGCATCTCAAATTCGATATATCACCAAACTCAACAAGAAACTGGCATCAGGTTGTATCCGCGTGCGTGCCACCTTTCGCGAACTTGGTAGAGAGGTTGCTCGTAACGTGTATTTTGCACTTGTGGAGTCACACCCCGGGCATGCCTTACCATTCTGGGTTTCCAGCACCAATTTCAGTCCGTTTTCGTGCTGCGAAAGACGGCTTTGTGCAACCTCTCAAACTCACATCCTCGCGTTGCCTTCTTTATTCATTTTGGAGACTGCTTGCTTATTACATGAAAATGAACAGAACTTTCCCTGTAACCGGCAGGTGTATCGAAGTCGTCAGCTAACTGTTATTCCGTTGCCAATACCTCACTCAATACTGATAAAAAGGTCGCTCATTTGCAATGATGTCAAATTTATGATCATGTTGATCACTTAGGGCCTTTCGGCGGGTCCTGAAAAGTTTCTTGATTCAGAAAGCCTATAACAGCATAGCTGCGTTCTTTGAGCGAGAGGGACGCCTTTGAATGTTCAAGATGTCTTGTACTGCTCTAGATTATTATAGTTGTTGCGTAAAGTATTTTATTCCTTAATTCTGCCAGGCTGTTGGTTTTTGGTGTCCAGTGATTTTCTGTTTTGTATGCTGTATTTGTTTGCACTGTAAACAGTATCAACTGTCTTTGTTTCTTTATTTTTATTTTCTCGGAAGGTCTCTTTTAATATTGATTGATACTGGTTCATGTCGATTTTGTTAATTTTGATAATTTTGTTGATTTTTAAGCTTATTTATTGATATTGTATCGTTCTTTTCTACGATCCCGTTGTTCTTCGCCTTTATCGTTCGAAATACTCCGAGCCTTGATGGATACTCGTCGCAATAATGGTCTATTCAGACCCTAGTATCTCAGTCACTCACATCGATTTGACACGCTTTCATGTTTGACTTGCGGACATCTTTGTATCGTTTCAATCCAATTTCTCCCTTTGCTACGTTGGTCATATTTTAGTTAGGCATATAAATATAGAAAAAACGCTTGGCGCAGTGAGACATCCGTGCTTCACTCCGATTGTGATTTTGGAGGCTTTTCCGGTTCCGTTGTTGGTAAGCTCAGTCATGTTTGTTATGCAGCAAACGAACTATGTTGAAAAATTTATGCGAACAGCCAGTCAATGCCAGTACTTTCCGAACAGCGACTAAAACATTTTAACAAGGTCTGTAACTTAATAAGTACAAGTACAATGAGAAGGACGTGTTTTTAGGTCGCTCCGTTTGAGTGTTCTTTTTCCGGTATTATCAAGGAATTAGTTGGTGGTGTTTGGGATTATCGGACTCGGCCCTCTGATCCCTACATTTTGGTAGTTGTCGGACTTTTTTGCGATTTTTCTAAAGCTCCCAATTTTCCAAAATAGGCTGGTGCTGTTGCTGTGATGTGTTGATATCCTGGCCTTTTTTGATTTGTTTACGTTACTAAAGCCTTCTCTGAATAAAACTGATTAGCAAGATCATTCAGAATTCTTTTGGTTGTTTGTGCCTTGATATTATTAGGTCTGTTCTTACAGGAATCATAAACCAGTCAGAGCGAATTTCATTGCTTGAAAATAGTCAGAAATCTGGTTGTTGGCGATTTGCACCAATCAAAAACGATCTGACTGGTTTGTGATATCTGTGAGAACAGGCCTATTGTACTCCGTTTAGTACAACTGACTGTTTGGTTTTGTAAATCATCATTATGAGTGGAAACGGAGTTTGTCACAAATGTATTTTCAAGGAGTCAAAACAGGATACTTTTGGGTATCCCTGTGACTTATGCAATAATGTAATTTGTAAGACATGTGGCCATATCTCTGCGTCGGAGATCAGAGTCATAATAATGGTATCTAGAGTGATGCCATTTGTATGTCCTCAATGTAGGAAAAACATGTTCAATTTACCTAATATAGTGAAGAGGCTTGGTGATTTGGAAGTTATGATTCAAAATCAGGGTTCTGATACAATAAGTATAATCGTTATATTGGAACAAGGGATTATTAAAGTTGAGCAGTCAGTGAATGTGACCGGGAATAGTGGCAGGGGTCTAGCGGTGGAGTCAGCAATTGGTAAAAAGGATTGATTTATGAAATGATAGAAAGAAAAAATAGAGCAAGCAACATTGTAGTCCATAATGTAACTGAATGAAAAATGAATACACAGACACAGCGCATGAAGGAAGACAGTGACTGTTGAGAAGATATTGGAGAATTTTAATATTGATGAAAATAAGTTGTCAATTTATAGATTGGGAAAGTGTATACCCAATGAGAATCGACCAATTAAATTATGTCTGTCTATAGAGAAAGATGCAAAGTATGTGATCAAAAATAGAAACCTAGTGGTTGTGCCTAGTGTGAAAATTAATAATGATCAAACCAAAGTGCAGCGCGAATATTTTAGAGTAGTGCAAGCTGAGTTCCAATCAATGGTTCAAAATGGAGAGGATAATAAGACAATAAAGTATATCAATGGTAAGCCCACTATTAGAACAAAATTCAAAATAATAAAAAAGAAACTTACTATCAAACCTGATATACCTTTGGATAGTGATATTGCCTTGATGCTCAGAGTGACCTTAATTGAGTCGGGCAATGCATTGCAATTTATAATCCAAAACTTATTCTGCAAAGTGAAACGAGAACAACAGATTATATTGAGGTTAGGGAAATTAAGATAGATAACTACACATGTGTCCGTTGTGATTCACATAGTAGGCATACAGGAGGTGTGTTGTACATCAAAAGTAATTATAATTATTCTTGTGAAAAAAAATAATATATTTTAAAGGATAATTACTGGTGTTGTTTCTTGAAAGTAAATATGTTGACATCAGTATGGGTTATTGGATGCCTATATCATTTCCCATCCAGTTCTAATGCAAAATTTAGCGACGTCTTGGATGGTATTTTTGATGTCTTAAAATAACAATAAATGTGTGCTTGTTGGCGATTTTAATATAAATTTCTTAGTCTAGCTTTTAGATTACCAAAATTATATGCCTTTTTTCTACGTATGATATAACTCAGCTTGTTTCAAAGCATACACGAGTGACAGTTAATAGCGCAACTTTGGTGGATTATGTTTTAACGAATTAAGATAATGTGCTTGTGGAGGTCCACGATGTTCCAAAAATAGCTAATCATTCGATATTGAGTGTAAATCTTTCTAGTACAAAAATATGTGATGATGTAATGAAAAAATATAGAAATGTTAGTGTATCTAATTTAAATATTATTAAAACAAATATGTTAAATTGTAACTGGAATTTAGATATTGTAGATGTTGATCTAATCTATCAAGAAATATCCACGAATTGTGAAAAAGTTGTTAACAGTGTTGCACCCGTTCAAGTTTGTGAATATAAATCAAAGCTGCCATGGCTTGATAATGAGGTTTTTGATAGGATTAGGGAGCGAAATCGAGCCTATTAGATCTTTGTCACAGCCACTGACAATGAAAAAGCAGTAAAATGGCAAATTTTTAAGGGTTTAAGAAACCGAGTGGTTAGCCTGTTGAAAGCTAAGAAAGACCAATATTATGTAGAAAAATTAGGTAAGTTTAACAGAAATGTGGAAAACTTTGGAAAGTAGAGTAAGTGGAAATAACGCCG